TTTATGCTGTTATAGCAGATAGTATTACCCTATTGTGATAGGCATCGTGTCACCCAATTACTACATATAAACACCAACGGACCCCATGCAAAGGGAATTGAAATCCGAAGATGAAAGTACTAAAATAAAATTTTCTGTGTCATACATTAATCCCATGTCCTTTTTTGTTAAGCATGGCAGGGTACATATGCCCTAAATATCCTTTTTGTCATGACTGAATCACGCTCTGCTGTCATCTTGATTGGTAAGAAACGATTGTCGTAAAATTGCTACATGATTTAAAAACGGTGCATAAACTTTTAAAACCAGATAAAATAATCTTAGAGCGCGTACAAGTCTACTACATGTATAAAGTAAACGTATGTCGTTAAACTCCCATAGGGTCAGCACACGAACAACACGTGGTGGCTCAATATGAAACCACACAACTTTGTGTTTTTAATCTCCAAATACTAAAAATAATCAATTAAGCTAATAAATAGGCTGATCTTAAGAACTTTTTATATCGTATATTTTATATTTATTTTTATTAAACGAGTCGCCCACTGATGTACGCCATGCTATGACCTTTATAAAATATATCAATTTTTACGAGATTACAAATTCAGGCCTAACCAACTACCAGACTCGGCACCTAAGGATCCTGAAATAACCGGTATATCGGACCACACTACCTGTTTTCAAGGTGTGTGTCAGATCGCATTTCGGAGTATCATACTCCAGAACAAATTTTGTAGGACGACTGCGGGCTCATCCACGCTCGGCTGAACAACCTTAAACTGTACTCTTACTTTAGAGTACTCTATTTCATTGTCTCTTTGGGGGTATATGGGGACTTTACGACATTCGGTTTGAATGTTTTAACCACTTGTGATAGGGCTTTTTTGCATTGTATTAGATTAATGTGGCAGTCTAAGGTTCATCTAGGTGGCTTTCAAATTTATGCACCCGGTTTTAAAATCATATAGCGATTAAATACGACAATCGTTTACTATCCAATCAAGGTGACAGCCGAGCATGGGCTCATCCTGTCGGTGTTCTGACTGATACTCCGAAATGCGATCCGACGCACACCTTGAAAACGGGTAGTGTGGTCCGAAATACCGGTTAATTCAAGATCCTTAGGTGCCGAGTCTGGTAGTTGGTTAGGCCTGAAATTGTATCGTGTTGTTTGGTTCCATTGCCTCGCTTTCAAAAATTAGAACAGGCGCTCCAAAACTGGAAGACGAAGTAAAAAAATTTTAGGCTATATTGGCCGAGTTCGCCCTCGAATTTAATAATAATAATATTTATTTATTAAAACCACACTACACTACCCTCTCAGTGCTGTTTACAGATAAAATTATCAACTTATTATATAGATAATAAAAGCTAAAGTAAAAAACAATTAAAATAATTAATGCTGGTTAAAATAGTAATGGTCAGAACAATAAAACTTTTTTTCTGATAAAATGAGAAAATATTAATTAAAATACTGTGAAAATAAGAATGTTTTTAAGTCTTTATTAAAAACCTCAACACTATCAATAGTCCGAATGTGTGAGGGTAGTTGATTCCATAAAATGGGTGCTGAAATTGAAAATGCCCTGTGGCCGTAGGTTTTGGTTGTTTTTTTATTATCATTTCTGGTAAAACAAAGAGTGGAGGTGGATCTGGTGAGAGTGGGTGTAATTGGATGTAGCATCGAGTTAAAATATGAGGGGCATTCACCTCTGGTGAATTGAAAAACAAACAGCAGTAATTTAAAAACAATTCTCTGTCGTACAGAAAGCCAATGTAGTTCGAATAAAATAGGTGAAATGTTTGATCTGAGAGGGGTTTTGGTCAGTAGTCGTGTTGCAGCGTTTTTTAATTTGGTAGGTAGGAAGACCATACAGTAGACTGTTTCCGTAGTCGAGATGTGCAGTTATAAAGGCATGGACAAGCCTCTCCATCTGACTTTTATCAAGGATATGGGATAGTTTGGAAATTTTTTAAAGACCATAGAAAGCGGCTTTGCATTTTTTACTGATGTCGACAGCCATATTGTAGCTATTATCAAAAATTACTCCAAGGTTTTTAACCTCATCTTTTACTTTGACTGTACTGTTCCCGATTTCTAATAGTTCTAGTTTTTCTGCATCCTTAGAAAAACGGGAGGTAAAGTGAACTACTTCTGTTTTGCCATCATTGAAAACAAGTGAATAAAGTCGCAGCATTAACCTTCCTACAATTTTAAATGCATTTTGCAATGTCATTTTCACTCTGCCCCATGGAGCATTTTATTTATCAAGAGTGAGGGAGGGGTGAAAAATCCCCATAGGGTCACATACAATGGGAATCCCCTTCTAATGAAGGAAAAATAAATGTTATTCTAAGGAAGTCCGATGGATTTACTTTTTAAAACAAAATTAATAGAACATTTCTAATATAAATTTTCAAAAAGACACCAAAGAGCAAATTAAATAAAATCAACCAGACGGTAAACACCGGTGTCAAGCAACACAGAGTCCTACCATTCTACGATCCGGCGGACCCGGTGTTTTAAAACTGAGACTCCAGCGGACTCCCTGTTTCGAAATAACGGGTCCCGGACTCTATGTTCTGAAATGTAGAGTCCCCCTAGACACTCTATTTCAGTACGGAAAGTCCTAGGACCCTGCGTTTTAATACTGACAGTCCGCATTGAGGAGCAAACATTTAAAATATTATTCTTATAACATGCAATTTGAATATGATTTTGAACATGATGAAGAAAGATATAGAGTGAAAAACTATAAAGATTAAAGGTTAATTAAGCATGATTATCCTCCGTAAAAATTTAAAAAGTACTATTATTTGTATTGTTGGCATTTCATAAACTGTAATTTGCTCTATTTAGCCTATGAATGCAATTTTAAAAAATCACGAAAAGCAATTTTTTAAATTCTTCATATTTATAGCAAATACAACAAAACACTTGCTGTTGTTTTCTCATTATTATTTTTTTTTTAAAACTGAATGAAAAGTGGGGATAATTTATGAAAAAGGGCAATAACTTTGCATTCTTGTGCCCGTGGGATTTTGACTCCCCTTAGTTACGAATGAAAATGAATATTTTTCCTGATTTTTTCCACCCAATATTTTAACATCGAACTTTCAAATATTTCCAATATGTTATTCATAGGGTATACTAAAAGGAAAGATGTTGAAATGATCACCAAATATCAAATGAATTGCTTGTTCATAGGGGAATCATTGGGTGGTAAAATATATATATTTAATTTTGTTTTCATGAAAATTTTCACATGAACCTAACAAAAAGTGTCAATATATCCTCCATTATGCATACTACAAATAAAAGTCTTATACTCAAATAAAATAACAATTATTGAGTTTTGTGGGGGTCAAAATTTATCATGGGTGAGTCTGATTTTCATTATGAAATTTTGACTGGGGAGTCAGTTTTTCATTATGGGGAGTCACCTTTTAGGGGAGTCTTTTCATGGTACACCTGCCATTTTGTAAATAAAGCCGTATTGCTTGAAAATCCATGATGACAGTATAGGGCACTGCGAACAGCTAGCAATTTTATACCTTGAGAACCATGAAATACCGGTACATTCCTTTTGGGTTGATTCCATTTAAATATAGGTCATTTATTTTATTTGAATATAAGTTATTTTAACTGTATAACAAAATTAAATAACTATATTTCCAATGACACTTTATACACATGAATATTTAATAATAAATGTATTCCGTCCGTTTCAAGAAAACATTTTGCACAGATTAAACCCCCTTTACACTGGCGTCCTTTCTGCGTCCTTTGTGTGACCATGAAACTGGCCAGGACGCCGTCGGACGCTCAAAGAACGCACAGTGATCGCTAAGGTCGCACAAAGAACGTTCAAGTATCGCCGAGGACGCCATGGACGCCGCGAAGTTTTGAGCATGTTCAAAACAATCGCAGAGAGAACGCGATGGAGGATGGACGCTGCAAGGTCGCTCAATGGACGCAGAAAGGACGCACAAGCATCGCCGTGGTCGTAGAAAGGAGGCACAAGCATTGCTTTGGTTGCAGAATGAAAACTTAAAGATCGTCCAGTGTTCGGCACGTAGAACATTATTTTTTCACTCTCAAACGGGGCCGTGCTGAGGTTTTTTTCAACAGACAGGAATTCTTAGGGCAACAGTGGTCTCATATCAGCCTCCGATTGTTTTTCCCCCTAAAATTCATGAACCGATCCGTTTTTTTTTTTTTTGGAGGTAATTATAAAACGAATATTTTGCCTTTTTTACAAGATGCAGTAATTGTCAGAACTTTTCGCAGAATGCGTCACAGGGCCGTAGCCTGAGCAAAATGCCAGGGGGGGCAGTAAGCGGACATGAGGGGGCGAAGCCCCCAAGGGGGGGGGGTGTCCCCCTATCACGATGTGGAAAATTCCAAATTACAGGGGGGGCAGCTGCCCCCCCCCTGCCCCCCCGGAGGCTACGGCCCTGCGTCATCTGAAAACCGATTCAAACATTCTATGTTGTGTCAGTCATACTGTGGAATTTGGATATACGGTGGAATTTGGATATACGGTTTGATTGTGCGTATGCCATGTATGCCGGAATTTACAAACGAGCGACGGGATGATGTAGCCTGCAGTATTTGCGGTAAGCGTGCCAAGTTTTAGGCCGCTCCGATGCCCAGCAGTATTTTATTTCGATTATTATTTTTAAGTTGGTGGATTCTTGTTTCACAAGCTTACTCTATTTTATTGTCTCTATGGAGGTATATGGGGACTTTACGACATTCGGTTGGAAGGCTTTAACCACTTGTTATAGTTTATTTTTGCATTGTATTGGATTAATGTGGTAGTCCAAGGTTGTTCTAGGTGGTTTTCGAGTTTATGCACCCGGTTTTAATATCATTTAGCGATTTTACGACAATCGTTTACTATCCAATCAAGGTGACAGCCGAGCGTGATCCTGATCGTAGAAAAATAGTCATGCCCACTTTTGTAGCTCCTGTTCCTCCTTGTGTTGTTGATCTATTGTATAACACACAAAAATAATAAGGACTCTACAAAGGACATCATCGCTTATAGGTTTATTAAGAATGTTATTTTTTAAAAACTTATCAATGAATAGCTAGAAATTTTAATTTAAAAATGAAGTGAGCGCGGACTAATACAAATCTGTCTAGAGACGATAAACATTAATTCAGCACTCCAACGTTTAGCAGTAATTAAATAGAGAAAAGCAGGAAAAATATCTACAGTTAACTAGATAGCTGATATACTGACTGTCATTTATCTTAGTAACAGCACCGAGCCTACACAGAAAGCGCCTGTACGTCGTAGAACTGAAAGAGAACTAGTTTACTGCCACTGACATAAATAACGGTGAGTAGTGAATGTTGAGACTGAAAGTACATGTTCATGTTGTAATTATTCTTTTAATCACTCACAACACTTCCAGATCTTAGTAGAAGCTTCTGAAAGAAGCAGGTACCGCGTCGCGTCGCGGGTTCTGGGACAGTGGAAATGGACTCGTGATATTAGTTTCGCTAAGAGAGTTTCATTTCCTGGTTGGCGCCATTTTGGGGTTTGGCTAAAAAAGGGTGTGACAGAATTGCGCAATACAGCGCAATATGCTAGAAAAAACATGTCCAGTTGCAATTACACAAAAGGAATGGTCATTTGTTATCTGACGTTGAGTCAACTTTCAAATCCAATGTTTATCCAACGTTGAAACAACGTTATGGTTCAACGTTGTTTCAACGTTAAAACAACATAATTTGCCCGCTGGGGAGCTACTTGCTGACATGGCGTCCAACCCGATAGTGAAAAAATCGTGCCGCTTTTGTTAAGTTGTATCAATTACATTAAGTCCTAAGTAATACATTTCACTTGTATATCACCCTACTTAGTTTGAAATTAACCTTTTGTGTGTTTAATTGCAACTGGACTTGTTTGTTTTTTTTTGTACCACCAGCGTAGGCACTGGCGGTTTATTTAGTGCCGACCCGCTTGTACTGCCGGCTCCGCCACCATGTCACCATTATCGCTTCTCCTCCTACACTGCATACCCATCTCTTGGATTTAGGTCATGTATAATCTCAACTCGATCCATGTAAAACTTTGGCTTTGTCGGTTTTGGGGGCTAGGTGTGGTGCTCATTGCAATGCACCCTTGTCCAAAATTGGCAAAATTAAATGCCAAATTGTCTACCATACCGAAGGAATTATGGGAAAAATTTTTATAGATGGCTGACTGAAAGACGTGGAGATTTCAAATATGCCCTCGGATTTGATCTATTTCAAGGTGAAACGGACCAAAAGGGAATTTTTTATGAAACTACACAGACCCAACCTATAATATTACTGGCAGGTGTTACCCTTCAGGTCATTTTTCATCTCTGTGAGTTTGGGGTCAATTGGTGCATTTTCACGGGAGCAGCAGCCATTAGATCCTGAAACAGAAAAATCTCTCTAATTCTGGAACCGTTTATGCTAGAGACCTCTTGTTTTTTTTTGCATTTGATATAGAGCATGTCAAGCCCAAAACTGGAGGTGGTCTCTGTTTTTTTGTTTTCCATACGGTTTACGACTTATGCTGTATCAAAAAGTAATTGTGATGGTGAAAGTAAAATGTGCAGTACGGTAATATGCATACATTTTTGAATGTCTGGAGAAGATAACATAAGACCTGGCAAGGCAGACAACTTCTGGTCAAAAATGACATTATTTCATGAAATTTGAACATCTGGAACTTCTCTGCACCTCCCATTTCAAGAATTTTAACCAAAATGACCTTTCCCAGCAGGCATAGGAACGTTGGATCAATGTTGAAAACAGTTTGATACGTTGAATTGCCATTGATCTACCTAAATTCAACGTAAAATCAGTGTTGATCCAGCCACGTCAAAACACCATGATAATGTGATGTTGACTCAACGCTGTATTTTGGTCATTGACTCAACGTTGTTGTTTGGTCGTCGTGATGCAAGACATGGATTGTAATTTAAAATATTAATTATTGAAAATGTGATACTTTGTTCATCAATACTGTAACTAACTTTATCAAAATAATAAAAAAAGTGTTTTAAAGTAAAAGTGACAGTTGTTTTGTGTCTTTAGTGAACTAGTGAATTTTCTTAACTTGTTATTCAGAAATACATTCCAATAAACTTCCTTGCAAGGTCAGCTAACACTAGGATGAACAAGTCGCTGTAAATGTGAACAGAATTGTTACCCATGTTGAATGCTTGTTGCGATGCTACAGGAGATAATTGCAGTATGTGGTAGACACACAGGCTGTTAGGCACGTGATCTTTAACGAACACACCCTAATGCTATTTGTGTGTGAATTTGGTGACATTTGATGGCATCTTTTCAATTGTATAGACATTTCTTTACATCTGTAGATGTCACAGTGAAACAGTCGATTTGAGGGGGGACCTCTTATAAATTTTACTAAATGGTATAAAATGTGTATATTTTCACCACTATTTTGTATTTTTTTAACTATTAATCATGTTAGACACAATATCTGTAATAAAAAGCACTATTTCTAACAGTTCACAGTTGTGAGGTGATCATTTTTAAATAAAAGTACAAGGAAATGGGGGTGGGACAACCTTTTTGACCAATGTTATATATATATATATATATATATATATATATATATATATATATAAGATAAGATCTATACATATTAATCTAAACCTTGGAAATTTTAACTTAAAGGCCATACATTTATACCCTATATATGTTTAGCCATCAAACATGTCCTACTGCTAAACACATCCAGGCAAATTTCCCGCTGGGTGGGGTTGATATAACATTGTTTTCTGACGTTGATACAACGTTGTTATCTGAGGTTTACACAACTTTCAAATCCAACGTTTATTCAATGTCTTTTCAACGTTATGGTTCTACGTTGTTTCAACGTTAAAACAACATAATTTGCCCGCTGGGCTGTGTTCTTGAAATTGACCTTTGACCTACTTTTCACCATAAACTGAACTTTGCAACTTTTCCAGTGCTCATACCTTCAAAACTGGCAAAGGTACGCCTATAGCTACTATTGAATTTGAATAGGAAGTTATATACTGGCAATTTAACTGTGACTGTATAATCAACCTTTGACTTTCTTTTCACCATGAACTGAATTTTGCAACTTTTTGAATGCTTATACCTTTAAAATTGACAAAGATACGCCCATAGTTACTACTAAACTTGAATAGGAATTCATATACAGGCAATATAACTATGACCCTGAAATTGACCTTTGACCTTACAGTATGTTCACCATGAACTGAACTTTGCAAAATTTCCAGCCCTTATATCTCCAAAACTGGCAGAGATATGCCCATAGTTACTGTTGAACCTATCTATCTAATAGGAAGTCATATACTGGCAATCTTACTGTGACCTTGAAATTGACCTTTGGCCTACTTTTCACCATGAACTGAATTTTCTATCCCTTATATCTTGAAAACTGGCAGAGATACGCCCAAAGTTACTATTGAACTTGAGAAAGAAATCATATACTGGCCTTGAAATTGACTTTTGACCTACTTTTTATGAACTGCACTTTGCATGTTTTCAGGCCCCTCATATCTTCAAAACTGGTAGAGATATGCCCAGTGTTGCCCTTAGGTTTTCTCTTTTGTCAGCATATATGCAACACTGATAACACATTTCAAGGAAAACCAATAGGCCTGTTGTCTAGAAAATCACAGGAGTGATCAATGTTAGGAAAATATAGGTCAATTCAAAAATCTGCTTGATCAGTTGGACCATTTTTACAGTAATCTTTTTGCATATTTTGAGAACTGTTGTTTATTGCATTTTATAGAGCTTGTCAAGCATAAGACTGGTGGTGATGTCCCTTTTTTTATGTACAGACACAGATGTGTCTGTACATATTGCCATCACCTGCATCTGTCGTCGCTGATGGCGATGGCGATGCCGATGCCGATGCCGGCGCCGTGCACTTTCCTTGTAAACACGATAAGTGGAGGTCAGTTTTACTTTTTGGCTTTATATTTACAGAGCTGATGAATATTCATAAAACGCAGGTCAAGTTCGAAAATCAGCATGATCGGGCCATTATTGTAGAAGTTATGCTTTTTTTTCACTTTTCAACATATATGCAACACTGTAAACACATTTCAAGGAAAACCGATAGGCCTTTTGTCATGAAACTCTCAGGAGTAATCGATCTTACTAAAACGCAGGTCAAGTTCGAAAATTGACATGCAGCCTGAGTTGGAAACGCAGTCTAATTGGCTTCTTTTTTTGGAAGTTATACATTTTCAAAGTGCGAACTTGAACTCCCATGGGCCTGAAGCCTTATGCTTGTTACACATTTAACTTACGTAGGTATTACCTGTTGAGCATAATTAAAATTTGATGTTGAATTTGCAGTTTAACATAATGTACTTTTGCATCAGAATTGACAGTAGCCTTTTTTGTTATTTCCTGCTTTTTGTCTGTACATTTGACAGCTTTGCTGCCTTGTTTTTCTCTTTTTTGAGAAAAATAATTGATATGAAGGCCAACACTTGTAGTTTATTGCTTTCTTTTTATACATTTTTGTTTTTAAGAGATTTTTTGAGATTATGTGTAAACTGACATAAATTATTCTTGTTGTTGAAAAGCAAAAATGCAGCTTTGAAAAATGGCCTTTAATATATAGAGAATTAAAAGGTGCCTATCTGCATGATGGTTTATTCCTTAACTTGAGGGCATGTAAACTTAAACACTTAGCTGTATAATGCTTAAAACTTATCTTTTCCTAGCCTATTTGATTATTTCTAGTTAGGAAACTCTATGGGCAATTTTGTTTATCATAATATGTCTGTTCATATTTTTCAATATCACTTATATACTCTGAAACTTACTTAACACAACACTACCAAAACTCTGGTTTTGGGAAATTTCCCTTAGTGTCAATAGTTGCATATTATAAGATGCATGGCTTGCACCATTCTATATACTCTCCAGNTTTTTTTTCCATATGAATGCGCTTACTCCAGCTGGTGGTACAATATCAGCAGGCAATATCGCCTCTCTGATCGTCTAGTTTTTTCAAGTGTATTGCAGTGTATTCCACAATTTAGCCACACAGGCCATTTTTAACCCTAATGATGTTACATAAGTTTACTTTGAAGTCCGTAAAAATTCAGAATTATCCTTGTTTTAGGCTCTGTTCACAAGAAAAATCTATTTTCTAAAAATCTAAAAGTCTATTTTTGGTATCTTGTGATCACGGTCTGTGCCCTGAATACCCTGCAGCGTAATTACTGGCAGCGTGAGCGAGTTACTTCCAAAGCTGTAATTAATTCTCGGCTGCGCTCAGAGGAGATTCTGATACCTTGACGCATGCGCAGTAGT